TATGTTACTTACATTCTCACCAATGGTGTGTAAGTGTTCCCTTCACTCTGCACCCTCACCAGCATTTGTTTTTTGTTTTTTTTCTTCTTGATAATAGACATTCTAACTGGAGTGAAATGATATCTCACTGTGGTTTTGATTTGGATTTCCTTGATGATTAGTGATATTTAGCATTTTTTTCATATACCTGTTGGCTATTTGTACACCTTCTTTTGAGAAATGTCTATTCAACTCATTTGCCTATTTTAAAGATTTTTATTTATTTATTTATTTTTTGTTGGTCAGGTGTTTGAGTTATTTGTATATTCTGGACATTAATCCCATGTCAGAGAATAGTTTGCAAATATTTTCTCTCGTTCTTCAGGTTGTGTTTTCACTTTGTTGATTGTTTTCTTTGCTGTGCAGAAGCCTTTTAGTTTGATATAATCCCATTTGTTTATTTTTGCTTTTGTTGCTGTGCTTTGGGTGTCAACACAAAGCCTTATGATGAATTATGTCTTTCATTCCAAACAGTATTCCAGATATTATAAGTTCAGGGCCCTGTGTCATTCTCATTTGTACTTGATGGATCTTGGACATGAATGGCACCACTGTGCACACAATAAGCACAGAATAGCCACTGGCCTTGTCTTCCACTCCAGCACCAAGCTCCTCCCCCCATCCCTTTACCAGAAGTCTCCTGACTTAGAAACAACTTTCCAGCTTTTGCATTGGCGCAGTTCTCCACCCAGTTACATCAAATTAATGGTCCCTCCGCCTGTACATTTTGCACCCAAAAGCTAATATAAGCTCCTGCTGCCTTATGTTAGGGGCTGTCTCCCATTTTTAGGGCAGCCCCGGGCTGTCCTCCATTTTGAGTACAGCTCAGCAGATTTCTTTCTTTAATAAAGCTTGAAGGGTACCTGGCATCTCAGCTCACTTTCAATCTACGGAGTGATGTGGAGCAGAAATGTGGGGTCAGAGCCCCCACAGAGAACCCTCACTGAGGAAATGTCTAGTGGAGACAGGATAGCGGGACTGCCGCCAGGAGCCCAGAACCATGGGGCTGCTGGCACCATGCAGTGCCAGCCTGGAAAAGCTGCAGGCACCAGGCAGCTCAATGGTCTGCACCTGGTGGAGCTGTAGGAGCAAGGTTGCCCCAGTGTGATTAATGTTTGCTCTGTTTGGATTTCGTATTTGTTTGGGGACTGTTTTCCTTTCTTTTCTTCCCTTCTGGAATGAGAATGTGTACCCAATGTCTGTCCCACTGTATCTTGGAAGTAGATAAACTTGTTTTTGACTTTACAGGTTCACAGCTGGAAGGACTTTTGCCTTCCGTCTCAGAGGAGACTTTGGCCTTTGGACTTTTGAGTTGGTGCTGCAACTAAAGACTTTTGAGACTGGGATGGAATGTGTAATATTCCATATATGTAATAAATGTAAGGCCCATTTATTCTCACTAAGGGAACATTGTGGAAGATTCTGAACACACAGATTGTAAGGCAAGGACCCTGAAGGTGTGGATTGTTGGGAAAATAGAATAGTTTGGTCAGGGCCCTCACCTCGGGTCCCACTGGGTGTGGTTTTAGCATATCCATTGTAAGCAAATTGTGTGTGTGAGGAGTCAGTGTGCATGTGTGCCAATGTATCTTTTTAGTTTTGTTGCTATTCGTGTGTTCTTTAGAGAAAGAGAGAGAGAGAGAGAGAGAGTGTTTTAGTGAAGCAGGCAGGCGGGCATCAGCCTCGGGCATCCTCCCAGCGCAGCCATGCTTTCCAACCTGTGATTCCAAGGACCTTTTGGTTGGTTACGTAGCTCATAGACCTGCGTGTAAGGGGTCTGACGTCTGACGACCCAGCCTGGCATATGAAGGGTTTGTGACCCAGTCCGTGAATGGGCTTGTAAAAGAGCCTGCAGGTAAAAGAGCCTGACAACTGGTGTGGTCGAGTAGCTTACAATTGGTGTCACGAACAGGATTAAGAGAGCTCTACAGTTGGCACTGTGAGGATTCCAGGCCTTAGCCTAACCAGACAAATTGGTGTAGTCGGGCAGGATTACGTGACACCTACCAACTGGGACAATGGTCTATGGGGATGTGTGCCCTTCCCCAGCAGGGTCCTGTGGGTTGAATATCAACCAGCCTTGGCCTGGGCATCTTCCCACCTACAGAAGGGGCACCAGAATCTGACCCAGGCTCCCACCACTCACTCTGCCAGGCACATGAAGCCCCTTGAAGACCTGGAAACCACCAGCATCCTCCCTGCTCCCACTCTAGGGGGCTGTCTGAAGAGCCTGCTGCTTCAACTTGGATTCTTTTCCCCCCAAATATCTGCATGACCCTCTCTCTCACCTTCTTATCACCTCCTAATCAGTCTTTGCTCAAGTGCTACCTTTCCAACCACTCCTATCTTGACCTTGCTTTTGATTGTTTGTTTTTGTTTTTTTTTGTCCTTTTTGAGACTGGCCGCACTGCGCTCAGCCAGTGAGCTCTGTGAACGAACCGGTAATCCCTATATAGGATCTGAACCCACGGCGGGAGCGCTGCTGTGCTCCCAGCGTCGCACTCTCCCTAGTGCACTACGGGCTCGGCCCGTTGACCTTGCTTTTGAAATCACAACCCTAAATTGGATATCCATGTAGAGAAGAATAAAACTGGACCCTCCTCTTACACCATATACAAAAATCAACTCAAAATGGATTAAAGACATAAACATGAGACCCAAAACTGTAAAATTATTAGAAGAAAACTTAGGGGGAAAAGCTACACAATATTGGTCTGTGCAATGACTTTTTAGATTTGACTCCAAAAGTTCAGGCAAGAAAACCAAAAATAGACAAACAGGTTTACATGAAACTAAGAAGCTTCTGTACAGTGAAGAAAATAACAGAGGAAGAGACAACTTACGAATTGGGATAAAATATTTGCAAGTTATAAATCTGGTAAGGGGTTAATATTCAAAATATATAAAGAACTCAGACTACTCATTGGTAAGTAAGCAAACAACCCAATTAAAAAATAGGCAAGGGATGTGAATCAATGTTTCTCAAAAGAAGACATACAAATGGCCAACAGATACATGAAAAAATGCTCAACATTACTAATCATTAAAGAAATGTAAAAATCACTATGAGATATCACCTCACACCTTTCACCATGGCCATTATCAAAAAGACAAAAGACAAATGTGGGTTAGGATGTGGAGGAAAGGAAACCCTGGCACACTGTGGGTGGGAATGTAAGCTAGAACAGCCATTACTTTACTAATTAGTAAAACTGTATGAAGATTTCACAAAAAACTAAAAATATAATTATCATATGATCCAGCAATCCCACTTCTGTGTATATATCCAAAAAATTTGAAATCAGTATCCCAAAGAGACATCTGCACTCCCATGTTCACTGCAGTGTTATTCACAGCAGCCGCGGTATGGAAGTGACCGAGGTGTCCATCAATGGATGACTGGATAAAGAAACTGTGGTACATATACACGGTGGAATACTATTCAGCCTTAAAAAAGGAAATTCTGTCATTTACAACAGCATGGATGAATCTGAAGGACATTATGCTAAGTGAAATAAGCCAGGCATAGAAGGACAAATACTATATGATCTCATTTATGCATAAAATCTAAAACAAACGAACTCATAGAAGCAGAGAGCAGAATGGTGGTTACCAGAGGCTGGCAGGGTGGGAGGAACGGGGAGATGTTAGTCAAAGGGTACAAAGTTTCATTTAAGCAGATGCAATACATTTTTTGAGATGTACTGTACAGCAACAGCTATGGTGACTACAGTTAATAATAATGGACTTTGTGTTTAAAAATTGTGGAGAGTAAATTTTCAAATGTTCTCGGCCACAAAAAATGATGGGTTTGAGGTAATGAATATGCTAATTAGCTTGACGTAATCATTTCACATTGTATACCTATATCATAACATTGATTTGTGCCCCATAAATATATGCCATTATAATTTATTTACAATAAAAATAATAAAATAATAATGTTCATGCTAAGTAAAAGAGTCCAGACAAAAAAGGTCATACATTATATGATTCCACTTATGTGAAATGTGCAGAACAGGGAAATCCATACACAGGAAGCAGATCGGTGGCCAGCAGGGGCTGGGAGGAGGGGGATGGACAGAGACTCCTTAATGGGTACAGGATTTGCCCCTGGGGTGATGAGAGTGTTTTAGATCTTGACACAGGTGGTGGTTGTACAACACTGAATGTACTAAATGCCACTGAAAAGGTCTACTTTAACGTGGTCAATTTTATGTTATGTGAATTTAACCTCACTAAAAAATTTCAAAACATTGTAACCTTACCAGTGACAGTTTCCTTTACCCAGCTCCATTTTTCCCATATAAAACTTTTCTATCACACCATGTGATGCATATGTTTATTTTGTTTATTGTCCATCCCCTCCCCTCTTGAATGCAAACTCCACAGGGCAAGGCTTTCTTTCTGTTTTGCTCACTAATATAATCTCTGGGTCTAGAATAGGTCTAGACCAGAACAGATTATAAATAAAGGTTTTTTGAACAAATGGTGAATGTATTACCTTTTTACTGTGTCGTTGATAAAAGGTCCTTTGTATTTCTTGAATACCAAATTAAAGGAAGATGATTTTTTAAAAAGAAGATTAAAGAACCGGTATGGTTTCATCTGATAAAAATAGGGGATGAAACGGAACACGTATTCTATTAGAATTCCTCACAGACAAACAGCCTGATGGAGATTGGGAGGACTGAAACAAGGGTATTGAGTGCTGAGCGCAGCAGTCACTTTTAATTTGCAAGGATTAGAAATGTCAACAAACATTGCATTTTCCTCTAAATTCTAAATGATAAATAACCATGTTGGATTTAAACTAGAAGGAGAGTTGGAAAACATGAGGCCTCTAATGAATGCACTGTTTCTGAATAGCATTTGTTCTGCAGATGAGTTCTACCACACACACCCCATGAGAAAATACTTTCATTTAAAAACTGAGACACTGTGAAAGGGAGAGAACGTACCGATGAGCTCCTTGTTTCTGACGTCCAAGGCCATGTTCCGGAGCGCCGTGGCCACCGCGCACACCACACGATCGTTGTCTATTCGGAGCAGTTCCACTAGGATGGGCAGGCCTTTCTCTTTCCGGACAGCAGCTCGGATGTATACTGACCACTGCAAAAAAAAAAAAAAAAAAAAAAAAAAAAAAAAAAAAAAAGAGAAGGCAAGGGACATTAGAAATGGAGGTGGAAAACCCTGTAAGCAAATAGTACGTGTACGTTTTCAGGCGGCTGTTTACAGGAGCCAAAAGGATGGAATTACCAAGACCTAGTCGTAGAATAGGTTGAACATGTTACACATGCATTTAAACTCTTTATTTTTTTTGCCTACAACATGATGATAAAAGTGTCAGGGTTAATCAGCGAACCTCGCTTTGTTTCTCTGGTGACAGTGTTTTCGGTACTTGAGTTTGAAAGTCATTTGCATGATGTGTGTCCTTGATGCTTTAAGATACAGAAGTCTGGGATAGGCAGGGCTGCTGGCCAGTGACGTTAAAAGGAATAAAAAAAGAACCCTGAAAAAGCAGAAAGTGAAAATGGGTTGAATGTGGGTAGTTTTTTAAAAAGAGCTTTGAATTTGGAGGTGGGGAGTAGACATGAAGTGCCGAAAATGCTGTCAATAATTCATTTGCTGAGCAATAGAGGGTAAATGAGTAGGAACAAGGTAGGGGTGAGGAGAGGTAATGAGGACATTGAGAATCAGAGTGCATATCGTAAAGTCTCTTTTTTAAAAAAACATTAAGATCAAAATGTACTATGTCCAGGGCCATCATTCAATGTTTTATTTATAAAGTAAGACATGCAATTTGTTTGAGGTTGGTGGTTGTCGGCCTTAATGGAACACTGCTGATACTCTATATTAAAATGTACTTTCAACATCAGGATGATGAGGCATTTCAGACTCACTTAGCAGAATGCAGGTAGGCCAGATTCTCAGACATGTGCACATACACGCTCACTATGTGCACATTATGCTCTTCTACAGAGCGTCCCAGAGAAGAGTGTGCAGTATCAAAATCAACCAACATAAGGGTCTAACCTGTTGTGATTTCATTTATAATCTGAGAAAATTACATTCACAAAATAAGGTTTTGGATTCTGTGGCCAAGTCCTCCTGGGGACCAATCCTTCCCACCCCTCCCCCCCATGGGCCCTCTCCACCCCCATCCCCCATTGGGGCAGGCACCCCAGAGCTGGCTCTCACCTGTGGCAGGCAGGGAGCCCCCTCTGGCAGTGAACGTAGGGCATACGCCATGCCTGCCCCATCCTCAGCCCAGCCCTGCATGAAATATGAGATTAAAAAAACAAACAACTTCATCCTGTCCTACGTTAGAAGTCACATTCACATAGTTTCTTATCCCCCTCAATTCACACGCTGTGCTTTTCTCCTGCCCCCACACTGGGCCTCAAGCTCTAGGAAGCCTGAGGGGTAGGGAAGCAGATAAAACTCACTAAGGCATCTCTTGTTTGCAACGAATTATTTCACAGCCTGTTCTCAAGGAGCAAAGAAATGGAAGGTCGGGAAGTCTTACACATGGAAAAACATCGAGATTTGGATGCTGCTGATTGGGATTTGGGTGCTTGGATCTGCTATTCCTTCTCAGGGAGGAAGCACTTTCTCCTGGAACCAAGTGCCAACTTCCATGGATGCATTCCACCGACATGCTGAAACGTGATTTCCTCTGGACACATCTGCCTCCCTTACTGCTCATGCCCCGAAAAGACTGGAAGCCTGCCCTTATGCAGCCCACTCTTTGCAGGGCTCTTCCCTAAAACTAAGGAGGGTTTCTAGCTAGAAAAAGGAAGTGAGCAGAAATCTGAGTGTGGGGTCAACACTAATATACTGCAAGGTGAACCTCACAATATATTGTAACCCTGGAGAGACGTTCTTGACCTTCTGAGAGATTGCAGGGAACATTTCTGGTAGCTTCGGCAGGCTGACTGTGAGCCCCAGATGTGACCGCTCCCTGAGGACCACCTCTTTCCAGGCCCCATGCCTGTGACCTCGTTGGATTCTTCAAACCCTGGGGAGCTCAGCATTATTATTTTATAGTGGAGAAAATTTAGACACAAAGATGTTACTGCCCACAGGAGTCACCTGTGTCCCTGATCCCAGGTCCTGTTATCTCTTTGTGCTGCTGATGTCATCCCCATGCTGCTACAATCTTGTTTTCTCTGGTCTCACCCGTGTAAGTCAGTCTCCCAGATCCTGCCTCATCCTCCTCCTGCATCCTTCCAGGTGGACAGAAGAGAACCTGGCCACATCTGAAGTGAGCAAGGAAGGAACTACTAGAACTTTGTCCTTCTTAGAAGTCCAGCTATTACATCCCCTCC